ACCTATTTATATTATTATTTGCACGCGTGGCGAAATAAGGTGGGCTATGTCAGGGGTTGACTGTAAAGAATTGTGACGGCCGGTGGAGGCATTCCATTTGTTTTATATTGTGATTGTGGGTTGCTTACCTGTATGAGCGTTACCACTTGGATGTTGTGACCTTGTCCTTAGAATATGGAGCAACAGTCTAAACGACCTTATCCTCAGAATACGGAGCAACAGTCTAAACGATCTTATCCTCAGAATACGGAGCGACAGCCTAACCAGAGTAATGATCCTTCGGCGCGCATTGATCTGTTGAATGCTGAAGTTGAGAAGTAGAGGAGTGCTGTTGGAAAGGTACTGGAGCTTTAGCTTTTCTGTAGTTTATCTGTACTTTTTGTATATACATGATTTTTTGGTTATAAACGTGGTTGTTGATTTACTTTTGTTGTTTTTTGTTATAGTTGACTGATACAGTTACGACACTTAACAGTTATGTAGTTTCTTCCTTTGAAAAAGTGTTCACTTTTCTGAATATGAAGGAAACCAAGCAAACGAGGGAAGAGGTTCCTGATTCTAAGGTAATATTTTACTGATAAAACCAAATCACTTAACAGTTATGCCTTATCTAAATCATCACTCAATAGTTATGCCTTCTCTTTTTCTATTGTTTTTTATTAGATTCGTCAGTGCGTATCTGATGACAATACATCTGGTCTCGGCGAATTTGATGGCTATCAATATAATGTTGTTCCTGACTTTGTCGATCAAGTGAATCAAGATAACACGCTAGCTGGCCAAACAGATTTAGGTGTCAAAGAAAACGAGGGAGTTACTGATTGTGTTGATCATGGTATTCGTTCTGCATTTGATCTTTTTTTGTCTGATTTTTCTTTTCTTCATTTTGGAAGTTTTTTATTATTGGTTTTCTCTGTCTAAGGGGCAGCAAGTGATGTCAAGGTTGATACATTTTAGGATGGCATTGCGGTGAAGATTTAGCTGCGCTACAGATGTCCCAAATTGTGCTTCACAGACCACCCATCATAGACGTAAAAGAGGATTACATTTCTCCTGAACAGTCGGTTCGACAGAAAATACCAGGAAAATATGCCGAATCTCCATATTTGCCAGTTTTTGATTCGGGGGCATCAGGATCGGCGCACAAGCTCATTTTTGATATCAAGCATCCTTTCACGATCGAAATTGATGATTTTGATCCCTTGTCGCCATTGGCCAAAGAGTTTTGCGCGTTTGTTGATAATGGGATGGATACGAGGCGAAGGTATCTTAACTTTCTTTAAGCTTTCATGTTCTGATTTTATACTTGTCAATGAAGGTAGTTCTGATTACTTTTTATTTTTTGTGATTTGAAGTGCCAAAAATATTTATACCGATGAAGTAAATAAGCTTGCAGAAGCTTTTACTTTTGGCTCGTGTCATGTGACCACGAAGGATTGGTTCTACTCACTTGCGTATTGTGGTCGACCTTTGATTGACACGGTATTTAATAACTTTCTGTTCTAATGCCTTTTTTTATTTGTTGCGTATCTTTATTGTTTGAGACCCCCATAGTGTATACATAACTTTGTATAATCACGGTATAAGATTATATAAAATTGTATAACCTTGTATAAATATGTATAACTCTGTATAATAGCGTATAAATTTGTATATTTAAAAAATGTAGTAGTGATAGTTGTTTTGTTTTATTTCTTGTCTCAGCACTTGGATGTCCTCTTTTATTATTTGAGGAAGAGGGAAAAATATGGGCCGAATGTTGCCATGCGGTTTACTACAACCGACTTTGACTTTGGTAACAAAATCAACTCCCTGTATAAAGATTTCAAAGTGAATCAAGAACCTTCAGTAATTCCTGAAGGGCATAAGATAGAAGAGTACATTAGAGGGTATTATTGTGATGCAAATGTAGCGTGGCGCACTGTTGACCACGTCTTATTCCCTATCTATGTGAAGCGCGGAAGAGCAAAATTGGGCCATTGGGTTTTGGGGTTGTTTACGTTCATAGATAGGTGCATCCACATCTATGAATCTAACCGTGGAGCTATTAATGATAGACTTGTTGGATGCTGCATTACCTTATGCAATTTTGATACCTTACTTCTTGAAGAGTTCTGATTTTTATGTCTAGAAGAAGGGCATTGATTGGAACAATGGTGCATATACAGATAAATCCCATTCTGATGCTTTGCAGATTAATCTGGTTAATAATGTGCCTCAACAGATCAAATGGTAGGTTAATCTGAATTATTTTACTATTAGCGTACCTATTTACAGTAACGTACAGTGAATATGATTTTTTTTTAATTATAGTGATTGTGGTGCTTTTGTTGCTGGCTTTGCTGAGTATTTTATCCTTGGTAAGAAAATCAATAGGATAATTTTAACATTGAGACACTTCGCAGCAGGTGGGGATCTCTGTTGTGGGATTATGGAAGGAAAAAACAACAGTCCAGTGCAATTAGTGGTGATGAAATCACAGGGAGACTTTTCAGGAAGAGGAAGAGGGGACGACCGAGAAAGTAGTTCTGTTTTTTCTATTTTAATGTAGTTTTGCTATGTATCAGGAGTTGTTGCCTAGTTTTGTCTAAATACTATTCTGCTACTTGTGAGATAACCTTAAATGATATTATAGATGTTTTTATTTTTGTGTAATTTGTGGTAGTCATTATACATTGTGGATGTGAATGAATTATATTTTAATGAATATTTCAGTTGCTTTTGTCCTTTAACAAAGTATGTATTTTCGTTATGGTTGCAATTTTGTTAATGCTGCAGGGTTTATACATATGTATTCAATAATATACATAGTTATACAGTTTTATACAAACTTATACTCTCATTTATACATCTGTATACATATAATACCATTGATTGTTTGCAGTTTTGTTTTGCATTTGTACAAGCTATCAATATATTTAGCACCATTAAAAATAGCAACACACTATTATTGGATAATCAAAACATGTATAATGAAATATATTTAACATAATTGCAACATATAGTGTAAATTGTAATTCTTTATTGACATTTGTAATTCAATTGCTTGTGAAACTTAACTACTCAATATTTGTAACTCTATTGTTTGTGAAACTTAACTACTCAACATGACAATATATGTAATAGGAAGTGTTATGTTTCCAACTATTTATTTTGGTCGATTCCTACATATTTTTCTATTGTAACCACTTTGTCCACACATAGAACATGAAAACGCCCTCTTAGACTCTTTCTCTGAAGCAGGTTTGAGTTTTTCCTTTCTCGGCCTTCCTGCATTCCTTCTCCCTTTAGGTGGTAGGACCACATCTTCCAGAACCTCTGTTGGGATTACCCATAAACTCTCATCTGGCATCGGATTCACTGGAAATTCATAAGTTCTAAGGAGGTTATCCTTCTTGTAGTAAAAAGAGAAATACTGGCCTGGTTTCAGCTGCTGGTTCTTCAAAACCGCCCAAGCATGCGGACATAGAAGTTCATTCATTTGAAATTTGCCGCAACTGCATGTTCCCTCTTCAAGGCATACTATGTTTCGCCTTACCCCTTCAAGCACAGTATATAACTGCTCCGTAGCAGGCCTCACTTGCAAAAGTTTTTTTAAAAAAAAAAAGAAAAGTTAAAGCACATTATACATTATTAGACAGAGTTATACATCCTTAGACAAGCAGTAAAAAGCAAGTCAGCAGTGCCAAGCATCATTATATTTGATTTGTTTTACCGTCATTTGCTCTGATGCAATTAGATTTTTCCGAAGGAGTTTGTCGTACTTTTCGCCAAGCTCTGTAGATGTCTCTATTGCACTTTTTCTGTTTTTGTTGTTCTACTGTTGTAGAAAATTTGTCATGTACTCCAGCAATCGCATTACTGGTAACTCTCTAGCATCTTTGTTTGCTGCATTAATTGACTCTGTAATATTGGAAGTCATTACCATCGACCTTTTCACTTTGGAGTATGCCCTAGACCACCTTTCGTAGCCAATTTCGAACAAGTAAGGCTGCACCCTCGGATCAATTTTGCACATCTCTGTCATATGGTAGTCAAACTTCTCTATCGTGTAAGCTCTAGCAAAGAAGATATCCTTCAATTGTTTGTGATGTTTCTTGAATGTGCACTTGACATTCTGCCACAAGTGAAACATGCAAATACAATGTGGTACTTCTGGGTACACAACTTTTGTGGCATTGAAGATGCTTTCGTTTCTATCTGAAACTATACACGTTCCTTCCCTAACACCAAAAGTACCCTTTATCTGGACGAAGAACCACCCCCAAAATTTGTTATTCTCTGAATCTACAATTGCATATGCAAGTGGAAGGATTTTTCCTGTTTATACAAAATAGATATTAGGATTCAGACAATTATACAAATTTTATACACAGTTATACACGATTATACAACTTTATACATACTGTAAATTTTGTAAAAACAGCAGCTCTGAAATCCTATACACTTTTATACATGAAACTACAACATTATACAAACTGTAGAAACAAGGTAGATGCAGTCAACTCACCAGCTCCATCCTGTGTGCTAGCAGTCAATATGGTACCCTTATATGCTGCTTTAAGGAAACATCCGTCAACAACCATTATCGGTCTGCAATGCATATAGCGAAACATATGCATAAATAAAGCATCCATCTTCTGATTTGTGCAACTTTGTAACCGTTCCTGGATTTGTATGCTCCAACATATACAAATACCTCAGCAACTCCTTATATGAATTGCTCGAATTCCCTCTTATCATTGCCATTGCTATCTCTTTAGCTCTCCATGCTTTCATGTAGCTCACTTCAACCCCGTGTTGCTTTTGTATGTCCTCTATTATATCATTTGCGGTGTAAATTTTTTTTGGATTAACATACTTGTCCTTGACTATACTAGCAATTACACCCGAAGTAGCTTGATGTTGTGTTAAGTATCTTTCACCTTAGCCGCATGTGTGATTATTATTGTAACTTCTCACCTTGAATATGTTTGCCTTGTAAATAGCAGAAGATTTGAAACTCCAAGCACAATTGTCATCCACACACATAAGGTGATACCTAGGATTAAAGATCATTCAACTTCTAAAAACACTTGTATACAAAAACATAACTAGATATATACTAATTTTAATACCTATATACAAATATATACTACTTTATACTTATTTATACATATATATAAAAGAATATGCAACTATTGCCATACCTTGTTGCGCTTGATCTCTTCACCTTGAATTGGAACCTCTCGTGTACATCCAAGTTCTTCATCACACCGACAACAGTCTCTTTATCCTTATAAACTTGATCCTCCTCAACAAATTCGTTCAACATATTATCTATTATACCTGTGTTTTCACTAAATTTCGTGTTTTCAATAAATTCGATATCAGGCATAATCTAAGTGCTATCAATTGTGGATACATCTATACATTTGGAACTTGTACCAACCAAACAACTGGAACTTGTAGCAACTAAACGATTATCATAAATCTCTTTCACCGTCACATACAACGGGTATTCAGTGAAATTCAAGCCGTTCTTCTTTAATTCGATATACACCTTAACGCCCGTATCGTTGTAAATCAGGATCGGTGGCAAACCATCCTTTGGGAGAAAGTTAATCTCCAATGTGTTTAACTCACAATCGATTCTAATCTGTTCCGAAATAGTTGCAACTAAATTGTTGTAGCTGAATGTCGACTCAATTATTACACAATCGCTGACGAAATTGATAATCTTGTTTTCTTCCCATTCACCATTATGAAGAACGTAAACTGAAAAAAGCTCTATCGAACAAAAAGTTGAAATCAAAATTGCAGCAAAAATAAAAATTGCGCTGATTGCAGCAAAAAAATTTCACTTTTCGTGTTTGATTTGCTGTTAATTCGAGATGAAGAACAATTTCTAGGGTTTTTGGAGTTGCATTGACTGCAAGATCGCGTTTTTGTAGTTTTGGTGAAGAAGAATGGAAAGAATGAGAGAAAATCCCGCTGAAAGATACAAAATCCCGCTTCTGAATCCAAAAAACGAAAATAACGCCCCTTTTTTCGGATATGGGCCTGTTATTTTTGGGCTACTCAATTGTAAATTGAAATATGGGCTATAAAGTTGAAAAGTAGGCAGCCCAGTTGTTTTAATATGAAATTTTTCCAAAAATATCCTACCACTATCGAAAATTATTAAAAGTTACCTTCCGTCATATTAATCGAGCAAAAATATCCCTACCGTTTACTATTGGACAAATATACCCCTAGGTCAGCGGAGGGGCCACGTGTCAGCCATCTAAGCCATTTGCTCCATCTGGGTTTATTTTTACACTGACTCAACTCAATAGCAAGTACCCACCCTAAAAATTAAACCCTTATTCAACATCCCTACCCCTCCCCCCAACTTCAACTCTTTAGACCTTCCTTGTGAACTTCAATAAATTCTTCAGCAATTAAATTCTCGTACTGAATTTCTGTTGTTTTCTTCTTCTTATTGTTATGTGGTTTATTTTCGGATTTTTGGATAAATAGTGAGAAACAAACCCACCTTCTTCATCCATTACCACTCTAAAAAGTTGTCAACATAATAACTAGATCTTAAAATCCTATTCATTTACCATTCTCTAGGCTATTACACAAAAAGTGACAAAGAGCTGCGAGACGGACACAACAAAGACTGAATTCTCATTTCTACAGAAAGATCAAGATAAAATTGAAGTCTCATGGTTGATCTATGCCTGTAACCAATGTTTTAAAAGGCGGGGGCATGAGGCGAGACGTTTTACCTCTGACGAGGCGAGGCGTAAGCCCTGAGACATGGTTCGTAAGTCCCACGGATCTTTAAATTATTTCAAGAATTTTAAAATAGTATAATATAAAAATAAATATAAAAATTACACTAAAATTATAAAATTATAACAAATAAACTATTAAAAATATTTATAAATTATAATTCAACTATGAATAATATAAAAAGTATGACATTATCATAATATCAAATTAGCTGCAATGTCGTTACAACTCAAACATCAAAAGTAATGTATTTGAGGTGAAATCGTATATGTTCTCTTAAGGAGTAATGAAAGAATTTCGATTTTCGATATTACAATTTAATATTTTTTTTTGAAATACTTCTTTTATTTAATATGCTTTCTATTTGAAAGAGAATTTATATCAAAACATAATTCACAATTTAAATATGATTTTCTAGCATCATTTATTTTTAAGTTTCAACAAGTTAATAAAGTGACACATATTTCACCATACTATACCATGATAACTAATTATTTATAAATAGTTACTAGCTAATACTGAGCTATTAAATTAATAAGTATTGTATCTCGTAAACATCAAAATAATATTTAGGAAAATAAATTATAAAAAAACTATGAACTATTATATAATAAAGACATAACAAAAGTTAATAAATAAATACTTTTAAATGAAAGATTTATTTAAAATTTACTATATAGCAGTCTTAGTGGATAACATGCAATAATTTTTATTTTAATTATAACATAAAAATACTCTCAACTTAATGATGTATGATTAAGAAAAAAGTAATTTTGAATAGTCAACGATTTATTAAGAGAATTTGAGGATTTACAAGGTTAGTTACACAATTGCATAAAGCTCTATTAGGCGAGCCCCGTACTCCGGCGTTGGGCGTGTCCGGGGCGTAAGCCCCGGCGGTTGAGGCATAAGTCTCACGGTACTAAGCCCCACACATAAGCCCAGGGGCGTTTTACGAGTGTTCCGCTCCAAGGCCAGCCCCGGGCGCGTCCCAATTCTGCCTTTTAAAACAGAGCCTGTAACAACACATAAATTATAGGTTTAATTTGTTCCTTTTCTGTTTTCTTTGCTGGAACCCCAGTTTTTGGATTTAATTTCGTCTTTAACATGAATCTCTCTCGCTTTAAACTTCATCCCTCACAAAAGGAGTTAGAGAGGGAAAAAAAAGTTATCTGAGCTTGGTAGAATAGTATAATAACTCGAGGAATTCCAGATTTGACATGGTATATTGTAACTTTATGGGTCTAAGGGTGTGTTTGGTAGGAAGGAAAACATTTTTCGGAAAATATTTTCCAATTTTTTCATATTTGGTTAGCTTAAATATTTTGAAAAATATTTTCCTTATGAACTCATTTTCCTCCAATTAATGTCTTCCTTATCAAGATAAGAGAAAACATTTTCCAAAACTCATTCTCAACCTTACTCATCCTATTCCCCTCTCACCAACCCCCCCCCCCCCTCACATCCCCAACGCCCACCCACCCAGCCCCACCTCACGTCTACCCCACCCTCTCTCTCCAAAAAGTTTTTTTTTTTAAATTTTAGTTTTTTTCTCCGTCACAACCCACCCTGCTACCCCCCTCCTCCTGCAATTAAAATTATTTTTTTTACTTTTTTTTTTTGTAATTTCAAATTTTTGTTTTTTCGTTTTTCTGCAACCCCACACCTCACCGCCCCGCACCAAATTTTTTTTCTTGTAATTATTAAATTTTCTGTTTTTTTATTTTTCTGCACCACCCACCCCACTGCCCCCTACCCCACACATTTTTTTTTGGCAAAATACATAAACGACCCCTCCAAGTTGTCCACAACGGTCAACCAGACACCTCAATTGGCTCCTTTATCATTTAAACACTTCAAGTGACTGTTAAGTAAATCAAATAAACACCCGAGTGCAGCAGAGCAGATGCGTGAGTTACACTTGCCAATAACATGTCAAATGAGCCAATCAATAAAGGACACGTGTAATTTGTATTAATTTAATTTATATAATTAACCAAAAATGAAAATACATTTAAAGAAGAAAAAAGTCCTTTTCTCACATTTTTAACATACCAGCGTCATTTCTTCCTCCC